TCCAATTTAGAGTTACTGATTTCTAACGTTATTCAGCACGTAGGTTATAGGAAGAATCATATAATAGAAATTGATGTTCTGTAAATCTGCATTCTACCGACTTCTCATAACTGAATTTGAAAGGCTTAATCATTCCATGTACCTCTAAATTCTGATACAGATACTCTTTTCAAATAGCTATGCTGGTTAGGTTTTACTGTGTATAATTTAAAGATTTGGATGTGACATGTTTCTTTTTTTCTTCCAGTCAATAATACCCTTTATTTATACAATGTAATTTATTTATCCATCATGAATACATTTCATTGTGATAGATTCAAACAATACAATAAATGTAGATAGCAAAATGTGAGAATCTCTCATACCTACTTCTCTCTCAAAGGCGATAACCCCAATTAACAAATTTGGCAGGCATCCTTCCAATCTTCTTTCTATGAATGTACATATGAATATTAATTTATGCACATATTTTTTCATAAGTGAGATCATGCTGTACATATTCTGTTTTTTAAACATTTTCCTCAGCAGTGTGTCTGGGTTTTTCATAGATATCAAGATGTATGTATATCATTTCTTAAATGGCTGCATAATGTTATATGATATTATTATAATTTATTTAACTATTCCCCTTTTGTTGGGCATCACTTTGTTTTCCTTATCATTATTAAACATAATGGTGCATGCACATCCTTGCAGATACATCCATTTATGCAGAGATTCCTTTAGAATATATTTCCTTCGTGTGGGATTGAACACACTGAAAATTTTGATAGCTACTGTCTGTCTTCCTAAAAGGAAAATTTACATTCCCACCACGGAAAGTGGGAGTGTTTATTTACCTTCACCATTCCCAAAATAATATCAGTATTTTATAATTGCTTCTAATCTGATGGTTGAAAAATTATATTTCATTATTTTAAAGTAGCATTTATCTGATATCTGGGATGTTGAACATCCCTTTATGTGTTCGTTCTATGAATTGCTCTAATTTGCCCATTTTTCTTGTGGAATATCCTTTTAATATTGATTTGTAAGAATTTCTTTTAAATGTATTTTGCATATGAATCCTTTATTTTAAATGTTGCAAATATGTGTTTCATGTCTGTTGCTTGTCTTTTAACTTTGCTTATAGTGTCTTGTAGAATGCAGAATTTTCTCTTTTTTTTTTTTTTAACTATTTTTACGTATGTATATTTTTAGGAAGATTGGCCCTGAGCTAACATCTGTTGCCAGTCTTCCTCTGTTTTCTTTCTCCCCAAAGCCCCAGTACATAGTTGTAAATCCTAGTTCTATGTCCTTCTAGTTCTTCTATGTGGGATGTCGCCTCAGCATGGCTTGATGAGCAGTGTGTAGGTTCATGCCCATGATCCAAGCCAGCGAACCCTAGGCCCCAAAAGCAGAACACATGTTTACCATTATACCACCAGGCAGGCCCGGATTTTTCATTTTGTGAGAATGTCAGTTATTCCCTTTATGACCTCTGTTTTGTGTTGTGTTTAGGAAGGCCTTCCCCAGGTAGAGTTACTTAAATTTTTTTCTAATATTTTCTAATACTGTTTCTTTAATTCCATTTGGAGTTTTTAAATGGATGGCCAATTGACTCAATCCTATTTCTTATACAGTCCATTCTTTTTTCGCTGATTTGAAGCCCCTTTTATCGTAATCTAAATCTCTATATGTAGATATATTTCTAGACTCTCTATTCTGTTCTTTTTGTCGTGTTTCTTAAAAAGTCCTTTACCAATAGTGTACTTTTCATTACAGTAGATTACTGTGTCTTTTGAAATCTGAGATGACAAGAACATTTTCCTTCATTTATTTTGCATAGCTGTTCTTGCTAGTTTTATCTATAGTTTTTTTCCTCTTTTCTCTCTGTTTGCTGTTACTTAGTGTTACTATAACCTTACTCTACCCTGTTCTGATTTGTGGCTGTTATATGTGAACTAGAAAACTGGATAACAGACTGCTGGTTTTTAGATAAAACATTCTCTAAATTGAGGAAATGAAGAATTCATACAAGCTTGATTCATGGGTAGAATATTCATGCTTTAATACATAAAATTTATTTCATATGCTTTGGTTTCTCAGAGGCTTAAGTTTTTTTGTTTCTAGGTGCTTAGTAATATTTTAAATAGTTGATATTGCTGAATATGGAACCTCTATGTAAATACTAATATATGTTAAAATTATTTTCAAAACAGAATCTATGTTTAAATCACTTTGCTGAACAGCTTTGTTTATTTCTATCACTTTATGTTAATGAAAATTGTCTGTTAATAGATAAACAAAGTAAATATGAGCAAACTCATTTTTTGCTTTTAGGTTTTCTCTCCTAACAATACAATGGAGAATAAAATAAAAAATTTGAAAAGTAGGTAACTAAGTAGAATAATATGTTACTCTTGTTTTAAAACAGCTATAGCTAGATTCTATTATAAGAGCAGCATCTGTTACCATGAGGCATCTTTAACTCAAGGTCAGCTTAAAAAAAAGCTTTGACGGGCTTTATGCTTTGAAAAAATAATTCTTAGTGGCCTTGGGCAGCTATAGCCTATATTGTACCTAAATTGCTGAGCTTACGTCAGGGACTTAAAATGGCCATCCCTTCTTTACTGCAAAATCGATAGAATCCTGCATTATCTGTTCAGTTCTAAAGCATAAGAGATAGGGAAGTAGATATGTATAAATAAAAGTTAAGAATTTGTGTAGTGCTAATTTGTTTTACATTTGTTTTATTCAAATTAAATTAATAGATTTGATATGCTTTTTTAGAACGTCATTTTAAGCTTTTGTTTTTCTTGAAAATATCTTTGGTACTATGAATTTGTGTGTGTGTGTGTATTGCGTATTACTCAGGGAAATATCATTTCACTTTTCTTGGACAGGTGAATTATTTAAGCGTTTCTGGAATTGCACTAAGATTTAGAGCATATAGGGGACATAAAAGACCCTATACTTTGTGTAGACGTTTCAAGCTTAGAGTGCCTCAGAGATCTAGAAATCGGATAGTTCTATATTATGTTTGGCATCTGGAGTCTAGTCATATCTCACTTGGGCAAGAGATGTACCCTTATAGGCTTCGGGGTTCCTGAAGCTACATATATCTGTACTTATAGGATTCAGTAAATTGATAAGCTTATATGACAGAACTCACAAAGTGGATCCAACCTGCAAAGACATGTATTGATTTGCCCACATAGTGGTTTTTTTAAAGTTGAGGTCATAATAGTTTACAACATTGTGAAATTTCAGTTGTACATTATTGTCAGTCACCATATAAGTGTGCCCCTTCACCCTTTGTGCCCACTTCCCAACTCCCTTCCGCCTAGTAACCACTAAACTATTCTTTTTGTGTCCATGTGTTTATCTTCCACATATGAGTGAAATCATACGGTGTTTGTCTTTCTCTGTCTGGCTTATTTTGCTTAACATAATACCCTCAAGGTCCATCTATGTTGTTGGAAATGGGACGATTTTGTCTTTTTTATGGCTGAGTACTATTGCATTGTATGTATATACACCACATCTTCTTTATCCATTCATCAGTTGATGGGCACTTGGGTTGCTCCCGTGTTTTGGCTTGTGAGTAATGCTGCAGTGAACATGGGAGTGCATAAGTCTCTTTGAATTGCTGGTTTCAAGTTCTTTGGATAAATACCCAGTAGTGGGATAGCTGGGTCATATGGTATTTCTATTTTTAATTTTCTGAGAAATCTCTATACTGTTTTCCAAAGTGGTTGAAACAGTTTACATTCCCACTGGCAGTGTACAAGGGTTCCCTTTTCTCTACAACCTCTCCAACATTTGTTATTTTCTTCTTCTTCTTCTTCTTTTCTTTTTTTTGAGGAAGATTAGGCCTGGCTAACATCTGCCGCCAGTCCTCCTCTTTTGCTGAGGAAGACTGGTCCCGAGCTAACATCTGTGTCCATTTTCCTCTACTTTATATGTGGGACATCCGTGCCTATCTTCCTCTACTTTATATGTGGGACGCCTGACACAGCATGACTTGACAAGTGGTGCATAGTTCTGCACCTGGGATCTGAACTGGCGAAGCTTGGGCCACCAAAGCAGAATGTGCAACCTTAACTGCTGCACCACCGGGCTGGCTCTGACATTTGTTATTTTTTGTCTTGGTAATTATAGCCATTCCAATGGGTGTAAGGTGATATCTTAATGTAGTTTTGATTTACTTTTCCCTGATGATTAGTGATGTTGAACATCTTTTCAACATAGTTTTTTAAAAATATCTAGATTTATGGCTTCTCCTGAAAAATTGTAAGATCTGACAACCTGGGCCTCATATTACCACATGGCAGCAACTAACTAGATGAGCATGTGCTTTCCAGTTTGCCAGAATCCCTACCACTCCTTATCCTGAAGGTGTCAGTTGTCATTTATCACTGCACTTGTGCAATCACCCACTTGCCCAACTCATTTATCTTCCTACCCAGCAATTAAAGGTTTGGAATATCTAATTTATAATCATCAGTCTGTATGTTTTTCTCTGTGTCCGATGCACATAAAGTAAAAATGAGTAGATAGCAATTCAGTACAGTTAGAACAATCAACTCATTTTTTTCCAGAAGTGTATTACATATACATGTCTTCATTTTCTGTTGCATTTTTTTCCTCCCTGAAATATTAAATCTACTCTCTTCCTGAATCCTACTCACTTCACCTCCCAACACCTTGAATCTTCCTTGATCACCTCTGTCTACAGTACTGTCTTCCTCTTCTGAAGTCTTAGAACACTTTTCTCCATCACTGTAAATTTATTATAGTAGAGATTTAGAGAGTCTCATTCAATTAAAAAATGGTTATGTTCCTGTGAAGAGGCCTTTGATTAATGTTTTCTTAATATGGTTCACAGTTCCTTTTTTCAGAGAAATACCTTTATTGTTGTCATTTTGGAGATTAAGAAAGTAGTAATTTAAATTTTATTCCTCTAGTTTTCCTTATTGGCCTTTGGACATTAAATTTATTGTTTTCTTTGCTTTCAGTTACAGATGAGGACACAGTAAAGAGATATTTTGCCAAGTTTGAAGAAAAATTTTTCCAAACCTGTGAAAAAGAACTTGCCAAAATCAACACATTTTATTCAGGTGAGTAGGATTTTGGTACAACACACAAAAGACAATTTCTGCTGCTCAGATAGGAGAAACCCTACCATGTCACGGTTTAAACTGCTGATCATCGTTTTAAAATTGAGGCTTGTTTTCCTTGCTATCCTGCACTTAAAGGATATTTTCTTTAGCTGAGGCAGGACTGCATCTGGTATCTCGATGTTTAAACCTTATGTTTTCATTGCCTAGATTCTCTGGCAGTTGAAAGGATTTCGGGACCTCAAAGTGAAGCAGTACCATGATAGAGCTTCACTGTAGCCCAGTCCAAAGCTTTAAAGAGCCAGAAACTTGGTTTTATCATTTCTCTCAGAGTTGTATTACACAATTGGAGCTTATTAATTATGTCAGTTTTGTTCCTTTCCATTCCATGGAACACTCCTCTCTGTTTCTCTAGAGCGCAGTCTCCAGTGTGGCATCTACGAGATGCTATAAAAAAAAATACCTATTTGTTTATGTCTGACCCTTTTAAATTTTGTTTTTATATATATTTACTCTCCTGCTCCTTTAAACATCTGTTTTTCCATCTCACAGAGCTCAACTTCCTTGACTCCCTCATTCTGTTCCAGTTGATCATGTCTCTCCCAAAACTACTTCCCTCTCCATTAATCATTTTAACCACATTGTCCCTTGTGTTTTTAATCCCTTTACCTTGTATTGCTTCTGCCTGGTGAAACTCCACCTGTGGACCAGTTCAGCCTTTTACCTTCTTCATGACTATCCCCAGGCTGCTTAGGACACCTGGAAAAAAATCACATGGCAGAATAAATTTGAACCACTATAAATTCATTCTTGCATTCTTAACTATGTCCTCAAAGCTGCCTGTGGGTCCTAATCATTGCTCCTTTCCATGCTCCAAAGTGCTTGTCTAAACCCTATGCTATTCTCTTGAATTCTCTGACCCCACCATCTTCCCCATCATGCTCATTATACCTCCTACTTTACAAATAAAAATAAGGCCTTCAACTCCTGTTGGTGTATAATATGCAGATCTATGCCACTTCTCCCCCTAAAATACCTGTAGGCATTCTTACCCTTACTTATCTTCTTCCAATCTTTGTAGAAAAGATATCCCTCTTCAGTCTATGGCAAATCTCTACAACTACTGACTGAATTTAAGCTCCTCAAGACCTTGCTCCAGTAGTTATTTCCTCTAAGAATTGTTGAATAAATGCATTTTTAAGTTCCCTTTTTATTGGTTTAGTCTGCTTAGCAAGTCACTCCCTTCGAATGAAAAATAAACAAACAAAAAGGAATCAAATGTCTTGACTTTATGTCCTCCTTCTCATTTTGTTTATGTCTGGACTTCTTCCTAGGCAAAGGGAACAGTTTATACAGAAGCACAGAGCCATGAAAGGGCATGGCATATATGTGTGTCCTTTTCACTATGTTACAAGCACCTAGAAGGCAGAGACAAAATAGAAATATTATTTGGAACCATGCAGATGGATAGATTTTCAGCATGGGGAAAATGTTCAGAAGGAATTGCAGTGTTCAAGGATAAAGGTGATTTCCACAATTAGGAGGTTAGGAGGATAAAGAGGAACTAGCAGTGTAGACAGAGAAGGAGAAGACAGCCATGCAGAAGGAGGAAGAGGATACTAAAAGAGGAAGGCATTTCAGTGGAAAGAGTGTTTAGACTGAGAAAAGGCTGTTAGGGATGATCTAAGGCTGTAAATGAAAAAATATATAAGGTCAAGTTTATTGGCATTTTTCTTTTACTATGATTTGTTTTGGAAGGATCTCTGACCCCAACTCTAAATGGATAATTTAGATCATAAAGAATAGATAACGCCTTTTAGTTTACAAGGAAAATATCTACTCTTAATAATAGATACATACTTTTTATATTTTGACTTACAGTAAAAAAATACATAAAAATTATGACCCATTACACATAGACAGATACATGTTTTATATATGTTTATGTGCATCTGTATGTGTGTATATGCAATATATTTAAATAATTAATTTTTTATGAAACTCCTTATCCTTACTACTTGTAATATATTCTGTTTTCTATATTTAATTATTTCTGTTTAATTTGTTAAATACTGATTTATGATCTACTAAATTGCTTTCATGACCCCATATTGAGTTACAACCCTCAATTTAAAAAGTAGTATCTTAGACTTGGTTACTTCTCAAAAATAATTTTAAGCTTTTTACGATTAAAAATTGGGGGGCTGTGATTTAATGACTTCCATTCTCTTTGTGTATTGGCAGGGCCATTAGGGCATGTCTCTTGATGTCATCACAGAGTAGGTACAAATTGATAGTCTCCAGACTGACTTTTTCCTAGGTCAGGAAGTGATGGGTAACATGAAGACATGATTGACAGAAATAGAATTTGGCGCTTGTCCTAAACAGTATCATTTTTCTCCTTATTTAGCTGCCTTCTCCATGGCAGATTGTCTTGTAGACTGCAATCCTCAGACACTAGGGCACATGAAAAACTATAAATAATACAAGAATGAGTTCAGCATATAAACCTACCTCTGCCCACTTACATCTCACAAGCTATTTAATAGTCAGTTAAAAGTGGTCATTTTTTTAAGCGTGTTATGGTCTTGACTAGTACCTTTAAATACCCCAAACAAACAAAGCATAGAATGAATACTACGAAAATGCGGATATTTCTTTTCATACCAATTCTATAACGTACCAATTACACTTTGGATTTTGAACCTTATTCTTTTTTTAGAAGTTGTTTACCATTTAACCTTCCTAGGCCTCCAGGTACTTGGTTGTAAAATGAGCAAATTGGTTCTCAGTCCTTTAGGGTTCCACATGTGAGGAATCAGAAGCTATTTTCAATATTTCAGAAAACCTGATGTAAGTTACTTTACTGCTCTTTATTTTTTATTACATATTTTTGGTTAATAAGATATGGGCATTTATTTAGATTTATAGATTAAAATCTTTCAATATTTGAAGACCCTGGGAGGAGAGGGAACTTTTTTAAAGGAGAGATCCTTTTTGGTGATAGCATTGCTGATTAGCATTGCTAATCATCTACCTGAAAGTCTCCCAGGCCTCTTCTAGCACTAAAATGGTATCAATCCTGAAGGCTGTCGTGTTAGATACCTTCTTTGTGGTGACCAGTATTATCCTTTTCCAATGGCACTACTAATCTTTTCATGTTACAATTATCTTTCTCTTTTCTTGAACCAGTTTGCTTTCTCTCACCATTCAAAATACTTACCTTTTAAGCAGTGTTTTTATGTGCCTACATAAAAAAAAAACCTTCGAATATATCTGTTACTGTTAATATTTCACAATTAAAACAGGCAAGCCCTTTTTAGTGGTTGGAATGTTTTAAATAGCTAAGTGCTTTTTCTTTTGTTTCTATATAATTTCAGTTCTTTCTGACCTCATTTTTTGGCTTCAGTTACTGTATTAGGAACTCACAACAATGTTATGTGCTTTTCCTTTCTTTTTTTTCCTTTTAAAGATTAGCACCTAGGCTAACATCTGTTGCCACTGTTTTTTCTTTTTTTTTCTTCTCCCCAAAACCCCCCAGTACATAATTGTGTATTCTAGTTGTAGGTCCTTCTGGTTGTGCTACGTGGGACACTGCCTCAGCCTGGCTTGATGAGCAGCACCATGTCTGTGCCCAGGATCTGAACCGGCAAAACCCTGGGCTGCCAAAGCTGAGCGTGTGAACTTAACCCCTTGGCCACGGGGCTGGCCCATGCTTTTCCTTTCTTTACGAGGACGGACAGAAAAGGAAGGAAGGGAGGGAGGGAGGAAGGAAGGAAGAGAGGCAGGTAGGCAGGCAGAAAGGAAGGAAAGAAGAAGGGAAGGAAGGTTAGTTTCAGTGGTGTTATTTATAAGTAGGAAAATTATGGCAATAGAACCAGATTTATTTCTTGGTTGTAAAATATTTTCAGGCATCATAAGACCAATTGGATAATAATTACTCAGAACTGTTGCTATTATACAGTCTTGCTATATGTTTATTTTTCTTTATTCTTATTGAATTTGAGACATTGTATGTTGTTATACCACTGTGTGTGTGTGTAGTGAAACAAAAGAACGTTTCACTGAAATACTAAATGTTCGTCTTACAAGTGATTATATGTATCTAGTACTCAAATAGCTAAACTATGACTTAGTGGCTGGTTTTGCTCTTTGCTTATATATGTGTTAAAGTGTGGATTAAATATATGTTTAATTAATTAAGATGATTATAGGTCTGTAGTATTGTTTAAAATTCCCATTGTCGGGGCTGGCCCCGTGGCCGAGTGGTTAAGTTCGTGTGCTCCGCTGCAGGCGGCCCAGTGTTTCGTTGGTTCGAATCCTGGGCGCGGACATGACACTGCTCATCAAACCACGCTGAGGCAGCATCCCACATGCCACAACTAGAAGGACCCACAACGAAGAATATACAACTATGTACCAGAGGGCTTTGGGGAGAAAAAGGAAAAAAAAAAAAAAGAGTTTAAAAAAATAAATAAAATTCCCATTGTCTTAGCATTTCTTCCTATATCATGATTCTCTTGAATTCATTACAACAGAATCAGTTACTTAAGCTATTGAAGGATTAGGAGTAGGTGGGAAGTAGGGAAAATGAATTAAAGCAACTAAGTGGTCTGTCTTGCTTTCTTGGAAAGACATCTGATGAAAGTTAAAATTATAATTATTTATCTACAATCAACAATAAATTTTGCTTTCTTCATTTTGTTAAAAAAAGTGAGAGATTTCTATTAAAAACAAATCATGTGAAACCAACTTCATTTTCTTTCTCTATTCTTTTTTCTTTCCTCTTCCTTCCCTCCTATCTTTTCTTTCTTTCTAAGCCTGACTTGGGGAATGGCCATAGTCCTGGGGTAACAGTTTCAGCATGGCATCTTCACAAAAAAGCAGACTATCATCTAAATTAATACTCTTTTAAACTGTAGGTTGTGACCCAATAAATTGGTCAGGAAATTAAAATACCTGGGGTCATCACAGGCATTTTCTAAAATATGAATAGAATAGATAGTAGAATAGAAAATATCAGAGTACATGTAATGTGTTTATTTATCAATTATCTGTTTTTTTAAGTTTATATACAATATGATAAATGGTATTTTAGAGTTTTGCAAAGTACTATGGAAACCGACATGAAGAAGCGTTGACTTTACTTGGAGGAAAAGAGAGGGATTGAGGGAAAAAAAACCCTAAAAGAAGTAAGGTTTAAATTAGGTCTTTGAAAATGCATGGGCATTTGCCATATGCTCTCGGAGGAGTGTGTTTGGGCATAGCGGTGGGGCGTGGGGGGGGGGGGGGGGTTGGAGTGTCGTGTTCCAGGGCAAGGGAAAAACCTATCCAAATGCATAGTGGCATTAAAGTACATGACATTATTTGGGGTGTGAGGAGGATTACAAATAGTTTACTGAGGCTGGAGTTGTAAGAGAATAAGAAATGAGTTGGGATTAGAGAGAAAAGTGGAAGAATAGGATGTTTTATTCACATGTGGAGATTTCAGACTTCAATATTAGAGGTGTAACAATTTCAGGTAATAAGAATTCCAGGATCTTGAAAGTTCTCATCATAAGAAAAAGAATATTTGTAACTGTGTATGGTGATGGATGTTAACTGGAATTATTGTGGTGGTCATTTTGCCTTATATACAAATATTGAATCATTTTGTTATACACCTGAAACTAATGTTATGTCAGTTATACCTCAGTTTAAAAAAAGGAATTCCAGATAAAAGCAGTACCAAAATTGCATGTAATATAACAAGATTAACTATCCTGAATCATCTACAATGGGTCAACATTCTTATAAACTTTGTATTTCAAATAACACTGAAGTCTGTAAGGCATTCCAGTTGATAGCAGTGCTAACACAAGCATTATGAGCAAGGAGGGCACATCCATATCAAGAATGGTTTCATTCTGGAAAGGACACATCTCTGCCCCGTGCATGATAGAAAGTATCCAGTGCACTCAACCTGACTCTAGGTGGCTGAGCTGTGCCAGTGGGGAATGGTTCGATATCTGTGGCTCATTGCTGGTCTTTGCTACCAGGTGAGTAGCTGCATTGTTAGGTGCATAGCTGCACACCAGGTGCTAGAGGCTGTGTTGATTTGCTCTAGTGATGATACCACATCTAGAATAGCAGCTGCCATCAAAGCTGCCATCTTACTAATTTTATGATAATCCACATTCTTCAGGATCCATCCAACTTCTGCACAGACTAAACAGATAAATGGGGATGTGATAGATATCATCCCTGTATCTTTCAAGTCTCTGATGGTGGTACTAACCTCTGAAGTTCCCCTAGGGATGTGTTTTTGCTTCTGGGGTAGTATCTTGATACAGATAAGTGCCAGGAACTTCCACCAGCTCTTCCTACCATAATGGCCCTTACCCTGGCTCAGAATTAATATGGAGATTCTACCAGTGACCTGGTGTTTCTATTCCAATTATGCATTCTAGAACTAGGGAAGTAATCATAGTATGAGTCTACAGAACAACTGGGTCCACTGTGAGTTAAAACTGGTCTAATATTCCATCTATCACCTGAACACTATAAATTTCCATTTGACTGCTGGACCAAATGGCATTTGGAGTCTCCAGAAATTTGCATCAGTTCAGAATATGGTAGGCATAATTCTAAGGTGGCCTCCAAGATCCCCTCCCCATGATGTACACATACCTTCTCTCAATTATTCAATCAAACACTAACCTAGGTGCTGCTGTGAAGGGTTTTTGTGGATGTAATTAAGGTCCTGAATCAGTTCACTTTAAGAAAGAGAGATTATCCCATGTGAACCTGACCTACTCACGGTGAACCCTTAAAAGGGACTGAGTTATTCCTAAGGAGAGAGATTCAAAGCATGAGAGGGCTTTGACATGAGAGTGTCTTCTCTCTTGCTGACTATGAAGATGAAGAGGAGTAAAGGTACTCTCTAGAAGCTAAAAGCAGATCCCAGGTGACAGCCAGCAAGAAAACGAGGACCTCAGTGCTACAGCTGCAAAGAAGTGAATTCTGCTACAACCAAGTGAGCTTGGTTGTGGAACCCAAGCTCCAGATAAGAAAGCAGCCCAGCTGACACCTGGAGTTCAGTCTTATGGACCCTGACGGGACCTCGTAACATCATGCTTGGACTTTTGACCTACAAAACTGTGAGCTAAATAGTGAGTTTTGTTTAGGCCACTAAGTTTGGGGCAATTTGTTCTATAGCAATAGAAAACTAATACAAAAGGCAATAACTAGAAATCCTTGAAAAGTCTGGATATTTCCTTTTCCCCAGTGCACAGTTACTCTAGTAAATGGCCACTAGCCCCTTTGAGGAAGGCTTGGAGGAAGATTTACAGTATAGACTTTTGGCAGTGCAGCAGGAACCATCCAAAAGGGAGCCTGGCATCCCATTCAGCATGAGTCTTTGGGGCCAGCCCTGGTGGCCTAGTGGTTAAATTCGGCACACTCCGCTTCAGCAGCCCAAGGTCAGTTCCCAGGCATGGACCTATACCATTTGTCTGTCAGTGGCCATGCTGTGACGGTGGCTCACATACAAAATAGAGGGAGGAAGACTGGTGATAGATGTTAGGTCAGGGTGAATCTTCCTCAGCAAAAGTAAAGATAAAAGTAAAAAAATAATGACAACCTTGTTTAAAAAAAAAAAGTCTGGGTCTGTGAACTTTCCAGCTTAGGTCTGGAAACTAGGCAAGAGGTCATGACTCTCTATTGTGGTGACTAAAATCAAGTATTTGGTTACCAGACCTGGAGTTTTTTTATATTATATTGATTAAACAGTATTTCAGTAGGTTGTCTGTGTATTTCCTTCCTAAGCATAACCATGATCAATTAACCACAGCCAAAATCTTTGTGGGGTAAAACTTTCTGATTACTGATTTGTCCTGTTGCATTTTATGGTAAATGCACCCACCTTGTCTTTGATGGTTAAGTGCTTCCATCTGACCCTTCTATTCCAGGATCCTGTCATCTCCACTGAAATCAGGGAGCCCATCTCAACGAACATATCTCCCATGGTCATACCTGGCCAACAATGGAGAGCAACCACAGAGCTTTTTGAGGATGCAGGTGCTCTCCTCACTGATGTATTTCTCTACACCTTAGTGAAAGGAGTATTTCCTGGGCCGCCTCAGCAATTGTAGTTGGTGTTGATATTGATGGATGAAATTTACTTGGAAAGAGGAATAGAAACATGATTTGGGTTTTGAATACAATTTGAGGTCATAGGATATACAAGAAATAATAAATAGATTTCAAATGTAAGAAAAGTAATGTAAATGATTGAGGATGGAGATGAATCTTGGAAGCATCTTCTGGGAGTAATTTCTCTAAAAGAAAGAGCAGTGAAGCATGAAGAAGCAGTTAGTGACAAGATAGTGTAGCAGTATACGAAGCAAGGAAGAGGAGAACTTTGAGAAAGAATTAGCTGTAAATAATACTTTGTTGTTATTGTATGATTACTATCATTGTTATTGAATGCTAGCAATGTTAGATGTTCTATGCTTCATTTCATTTAATCTTTACAACCACTTTATGAGGTAGTATCTCTATTTTGTATTGGTACTGTCTCAATTTCATCTATGAAAGGCTTACAAGAGTTTCAAAAAAAAATCTTGACTAAAATCATACAGCTAGTTAATGATGAGGCAAGGATTTGAACTGAAATTTGCCTGCGTTTAATGTACTAAATTGTAACCTTGGAAGAAAAGTTACAAGAGCATTATTTTTAAATGTAAGTACAACACAAATAAATAAATAAATAAAGTAAATCCAGCCAGGTACACCAAATATTTTTTTTCTTATGTATAGTTTGCCAGTCTTAGTCTCTTCTTGTAATACGTGTCTTGGAGAATTAATGAGGTGTAGTGAGAAATGCAACTGAATAGAAATCTCGAGCCCAAATTCTAATCCTGTTTCTGCACTAACTAGAGAAGTTTCTGAATAGCTTTTTAAAAAACTTGAGATATTCACATATTATAAAATTCACGGTTTTAAAGTATACAATTCACTGGTTTTCAGTATATTCACATGGTTGTACAACCATCACCACCGTCTAACTCCAGGACGTTTTCATCACCCCAAAAGACTCCATACCCATCAGCAGTCATTCCTCTTTCCTCCTTCCTCCCAGACCCTGGCAGCCACTAATCTACTTTCTGTCTCTATGGCTTTGCCTGTTCTGGACATTTCACATAAATGGAATCATACAATATGTGGCATTTTGAGTCTGGCTTATTTCACTTACCATGATGTCTTCAAGATTCATCTGTGTTGTAGCATGAATCAGTACTTCATACTTTTTTATGGTATATTCCATTGTATGTATATACCACATTTTGTTTCTCTTTGATCAGTTAATGGACATTTTGGTTGTTTCCACTTTTTGACTATTAGAAATATAAATTTGTGTATGTGTACCAGTTTTTGTGTGAACATATGTTTCAGTTCTCTTGGTTATATACCTAAGAGTGGAATTTGTGGATCTTAAGGTAACTCTGTGTTTAACCTTTTGAGAATTACGTTTGTACCATTTTGCATTCTCACTCTTAGTAGCTTTTCAGTTCTATAACATAATCTATAAAAAGAAAGTGTACACTTGAGGTTTTGTAGGGAGGGAAGTGTAGGGTAGAATGAAAAGAGGGTGTTAATACCAAAACATTTTTTCCTATCCAGTTCTAAATATTAGTTGTAACATTCTTTTCCTAGAAATTTTAGGGAAACAAACTAGAATAATTAGTAAAAATTCATAAACAGTGAGAATTTTTACCAGCTTTTTTATCTTGATGATTTGACAATTCTGTTTTATTTCTTACAGAAAAGCTCGCAGAGGCTCAGCGGAGGTTTGCTACACTTCAGAATGAGCTTCAGTCGTCACTGGATGCGCAGAAAGAAAGCACTGGTGTTACTACTCTGCGCCAACGCAGAAAGCCAGTCTTCCACTTGTCCCATGAGGAACGTGTCCAACATAGGAATATTAAAGACCTTAAACTGGCCTTCAGCGAGTTCTACCTCAGTCTTATCCTGCTGCAGAACTATCAGGTACTTAGATTCTTACCCTGGAGAATGGAACCTTTACGTAACTGAGAAATTATACTAAATGGAATTACCTTAAGCTGTACTATTGGGCCAATCCAAAAAGGGAAATCCTTAGTATGTCATTATTCTTTAGGTTCTTATTGGGATTCCAGATGCTCTTATTGGCTAAAAACCATGTTTCAGAGGTGATAAATAGAGTTAGCAAGACTTGTATTTTTGGAGATTAGTTTTCTAAAACTTTTTGTACAATATTCAGGAGTAGCCTTTGACTCAAGGACTAACAGTTTGCTTCCTATTTTTAGAGGCATCTCTGGTAGTGGTGAGTAGAAAAGAGGAATAACATATATCTACCCAACTACTGTTGGCTATGTAAGAGCTTTTATATTCCTCCTAACCTATAACAAAATTTCCACAAAAGCAACTGGACAGTTAACTTTCCTGCAACTAACACTAATAATACAAAAGATACTGACTTTTCAACTTCCCACTAAGAATCCTTGCAATTTTATTATCCAGAGGCTGCAATATAACTGAATCTTTTAAAAAAAATCTTGCAAAAGAAAAGAAATTAGATCACAGCAAATGTGTGTAGATACTGAATGTATTGCTCATATTTTTAAAACCCAATCTGAAAAATTCAACTGCTATATATACTAAATTATGGAAATACAGGGCATTCATTTCTTTGTAATTCTTTATAGTTCTTTACATAGTTAAGTCTATAAAGAATTTATTGAAAAACAGATTATTTGTTCAATAATAAACATTTAAATAGGCAAAAGCATCTCCCTAATCTTTTTTCTTTTTAATTTTTTTTTGGTGAGGAAGATTGGCTGTGAGCTAACGTCTGTTGCCAATCTTCCTCTTTTTGCTTGAGGAAGATTGTTGCTGAACTAACTTCTGTGCCAGTCTTCCTCTACTTTGTGTGTGGGACACTGCAACAGCATGGCTTGACGAGCAGTGTGTAGGTCGAGCCTGGGATCCAGAACCCATGAACCCTGGGCCGCTGAAGCAGAGTGTGCGAACCCAACCACTATGCCACTGGGCCAGCCCCAGCATCTCCCTAGTTTTAGGTAGACCTTATGCACTATTCTTTTTCCATTTTATTCTTGTGGTTATTACTTACAATTAGTGGTTAGGATCATCACAGGATGATATACTATGTAAAAACTAAAGGTTATACAACAAAAGTATTACCAAGGGTAGATATTGGAATTTTAAAATAAAAAGTAATTATAGTCTTATATGTGTAGTAATCTAAGTTGTTAATGCATGAACTTATTTCCATCTCTCCTTTTCATAATTTTACTTTTTTCTTTGGTGATTTAATATTTTATCATTCAAGGAAGAACCTAGTTGGAAAATAATTTTAGAATAGAAAAGTAATTATATATGTTATATGCTGGGAAATTCCTTTCCTTTGAAATTTATCCATAGCTTTATAGTTTACTTTTTTAAAGAACAAAAATATTTTTCTTCTGTTTTATAATGCTATAAAACATTAACATTTCATATTTCGTTAATTATGCTTGCCTGTTGCAAGGAAATAACCCCTGTTAAATTTTATTAACTTTCCCAGAAGCTTTTGTTTTTGGTTGTTACAGAAAGCTCCTTGGGAAAACAAAAATAATTGTTAATTATAAAAAGTTCTGATCTATCCTCTGTTCTTTGAGCCTGTCTATTCTGTAAGAATATATTTACTCTGAGAATGAGGAGAAAGGAAAATTGGTTGAAAGATGTCTCCAAGTCATGGTGTATGCACCCCAAGGAGAGTTTAAGATGATCCGTTGAAGTATGAGGAAGAAAATTATAAACCAGCAAGCAAGCAAAGCCTAATTTTGGAGTAATGCTCAGTTTTTTTATTGATGGGAATATCTAATCAGCAAATCTGGGAGACCGCTAATGTAAAGAACCTTGCAAATCCACAGTTTCCTGCTTTTTTGCATGTTGATCAAAGAACAACTGAATTTCAGAATGTAGAAAAGTATAGTACTTTGATATTGTAGAAATGGAGGAAAAGTTTGAGCTCCTACCCATTATCAGCAAAACCCTGTAAGTATGATCACTTTTTTTCTACTGCCTCTTCTTTACACTCCCATCTCCAAACTAAGAATGGATGGAAGCAAAATGAGTTAAGAGACCTGGACAATCTTCCATTTTCCATACTGATGCTTATATGCTTGCACAGTAGAAGGGAAACACATAGCTATGCCAGTCCTTCAGAGAGCAAAGAACTAATAAATTTATTCAGTGCATGATAAATCTAACATATTTTCTGAAAATATTCTTTTGATCAAAGAAGCAAAATGATATAAATTAGCTTTTTTGAGAACATGTATGTAGGAAAACAGAAATAAAATTGTTTTGAGTTTAGGACTTCCGTTAATTTACTTGAAATAGAAATAATAGGGTTCATGTGGCCGACCCTGTGGCCGAGTGGTTAAGTTTGTGTGCTCCGCTTCGGCAGCCCAGTGTTTCGCTGGTTCAGATCCTGGGCACGGACGTGGCACCGCTTATCAGGCCATGTTGAGGTGGTGTCCCTCATGCCGCAACTAGAAGGACCTACAACTAAAATACACAACTATGTATATTTTGGGGGGCTGTGGGGAGAAGAATAAAAGAAAAGATTGGCAACAATCGTTAGCTCAGGTGCCAATCTGAAAAAAAAGAAGAAGAAATAATAGGGTTCATAGTCCAGGATTCTTTGTGTTACTGATAGCATACTACCTTGAAATGAATAAATGAAATAAGAAAGAAGAGTCTTATTCTTTTAGTAGCAAATGCTTTTGTGAAAGCATTGCTATTTTCCTCGGTACTTCATCCAGTCAGCTCTGTCAGTGCATAGTGCTCACTGTGTTTCATCTTCTTTTATGGTGGTGGAAATTATAGTAGTGTTTCTTATTTCTCTCTGTAGAATCTGAATTTTACAGGGTTTCGAAAAATCCTTAAAAAACATGACAAGATCCTGGAAACATCTCGTGGAGCAGATTGGCGAGTGGCTCATGTAGAAGTGGCCCCATTTTATACATGCAAAAAAATCAACCAGCTCATCTCGGAAACTGAGGTACAGTAATTTCATTTATATGCCACATACTTTCAATAGCATTCATGTGTTATTTTTAATGAAATAGTTCTTCATTTCTATTCTCCTTTTGTAATTAGTTGCTAGCTTTGAGTACATATATTCTTGCTCAGATTTTTTTCTTTTGCCTTACCGTTATACATTCACCAAGAGGTTATCGGAATATCGTATATATAAATGGTTCAGAATTATTTATGCATTAAAGTTTAGTATAACCTGTGTCAAAATTTAATAATGTGTCTTTCTAGGCTGTAGTGACCAATGAACTTGAAGATGGTGATAGACAAAAGGCTATGAAGCGTTTGCGTGTCCCTCCTTTGGGAGCTGCTCAGGTTAGTATTTGCTTTCAGTTGTTTGGTTGGTTGGTTTTGCCTGTTTCGTAATCAACACAATCTATTTAGCTGATAAAATATGCTAGTTTCATTAATTAAAAAAAAATGTTTTGGCCAAAGTTTATAAGTAGTTATTACTATTGTTATTTTTCTTTTAAAATACTGGATGATCTAATTTCATAATCTTACTTCATAATGAATTGTAGTATCTTCCCACCTTTCTCGTCTTATCCTGTACTCCTTCTCTTGTTTATTCTTATTGACAAGCTAACTTCTTGGTCTCACCAAATGATTAGGATGAGATATTTACTTGATGATATGAGGGTGGTTCATGTGTGCTGGACTACTACATAACTTCATCCAAACTGTAGTAGTTCTACCTGAAAAAGCATTTATCAGATGATATCTACACTGTAGTAATACCAAAAAACATTTAAGTGACATCATAAAACAGGTCTCAAAGAAAGGATTTAAATCATAGAAAGAAAGTTTGTTCTCTAACCACAATGGAATGGACATCAATAACAGAAGCAGCTTCCTCATTCTAATAAAAGGCATTTATGAAAAACCTCGAACTAGTACCATACTTAACTGTGAAATACTGAATGCTTTCTCTCTGATTAAGGACAAAAAAGGATATGCACTCTTACTGCTTCTATTCAACATTATACTGAGATTATAGCCAGTGTAGTAAGGTAAGAAAAGAAATAAAGGGCCTTCAGATTAAAAAGAAAGTAGTAAGCGGGGCTGGCCCCGTGGCCGAGTGGTTAAGTTCGTGCGCTCCGTTGCAGGTGGCCCAGTGTTTCGTTGGTTCAAATCCTGGGCGCGGACATGGCACTGCTCATCAAACCACGCTGAGGCAGCATCCCACATGCCACAATTAGAAGGACCCACAATGAAGAATATACAACTATGTACTGTGGGGCTTTGGGAATAAAAAAGAAAAATCTTTAAAAAAAAAAAAAGTAAAACTCGTGGGGTTTTTTTTGCTCGTGACATGATGGTCTGTGTAGAAAATCATATGAATCTATAGAATTGTCACTAGAAGTAATAAGTGAGCTTATTAGCAAGGTTCCAGAATACAAGCTCAATATACAAAAGTCAATTGTATTTCTATATACCATCAAGAATAATTGGAAATCAAAATTTTAAAAAACAATGCTGTTTATAATCAAAATATGAAATATTTAGGGATATCTGACAAAAGATGTGCAAGACCTTTATACTGAAAGCTACAAATCATTGCTGAGAGAAATTAAGATATATGAGAGATATAACATATTCATAGATTAGAAAACCCAGTATTTTTAAGATAACATTTCTTTCTAAATTGATCTATACATGTAACACAGTCCAACTCAAAATCTCAACAGAATTTTTTTTTTTATAATCGATAATCACATTTTAAAATTTATATGGAAGGGGCCAGCCTGGTGGCGCAGTGGTTAAGTTCGCACATTCTGTTTCAGCGGCCCGGGGTTCGCCAGTTCGGATCCCTGGTGCGGACATGGCACCGCTTGGCAAGCCACGCTGTGGTAGGTGTCCCACATACAAAATAGAGGAAGATGGACATGGAAGGCCAGTCTTCGTCAGCAAAAAGAGGAGGATTGGCAGCAGATGTTAGCTCAGGGCTAATCTTCAAAAAAAAATTTATATGGAAATACAAAGGACCAAGGATAGCCAGAACAACTTTGGAACAACTAAGTTGAAGAATTAACACATCTGGTATCAAACTTATTATTAAAACTGCCATAACCAAGATAGTGTGGTATTAGTGTCAGGAGAGGCAAATAAGTTAATGGAACAGAATAGAGAGTCCAAAAATAGACCAACAAATATATGGACAACTAATTGTCAATAACAATGCAAAGGCAATTCAGTGGAGAAAGGATAGTCTTTTCAACAAATGGTGCTGGAGCAAATGGCTTCCATATGCAAAAAGAAAAAAAAAGAAGAAACTCCACCCATACTTCACACCATATACAAAAGTTAATTCTAAGTGTATTACACACCTAAATGAAAACCTAAAACTACAAATTTTTGAAGAAAATATAGGAGAAAGTCATGGTGACTTTGGGTTATGCAAAGATTTCTTAGAAATGACACCAAAAACACTTCATCAAAATAAAAACTTCTGCTCTTCAAAAGATAATCTTAAGTGAATGAAAAGAAAAGCAACAGACTGAGAATATATTTACAAAAACATCTGATAAAAGACTTGTATTCAGAATATATAAAGAACTCCAGTACTCAATAAGAAAACAAACAGCTCAACTTAAAAATGGGGGAAAGATCTGAACAGACACTTAATCAATGATGTTTGGGTGGCAAATAAGCATGTGAATAGATTCTCAGTATCATTAGTAAGTAGAGAAATGCAAATTAAAATCACAGTGAGCTAACACACACCTATTAGAATGACTACAATTAAAAAGATTGACATATTAAATATTCGAGGAACAAGAACTCTAACATCTCATATGCTGCTGGTGGAATGTAAAATGATATAACCACTTTGGAAAACAGTTTGGCAGTTTCTTACAAAGTTAAACATTCACCTACCATATGAGCTAGCCATTGTACTCCTAGGTACTCACCCTAAGACAGATGAAAGCATGTGTCTGTGTAAAGACTTGTACACAAATGTTCATAGCAGCTTTACTCATAATGGCCTAAAACTGGAAGCAACCCAAATATCTATCAACAGGTGAATGGAGAAACAATTTATGGTATATCTATACAATGGAATATTACTCAGCAATAAAAAGGAATAAATATTGATATGTGGAACAACATAAGTGCATCTTAAAATAATTAGGCTTGAAAGAAGCCAGCTCAAAAAAGAGTGCATAATGTGTGATTTTGTTTACCTAAGACTCTGGAAAATGTAAGCTAAAACAGGGGCCGGCCTGGTGGCTCAGTGGTTAAGTGCATACATTCCGCTTCCATGGCCCAGGATTCGCTGGTTTGGATCCCGGGTGCAGACATGGCACTGCTTCCAAGCCATGCTATGGTAGGCGTCCTACATATAAAATAGAGGAAGATGGGCACGGATGTTAGCTCAGGGCCAGTCTTCCTCAGAAAAAAGAGGAGGATTGGCAGCAGTTAGCTCAGGCCTAATCTTCCTCAAAAAAGAAAAAGAAGAGAGAGAAAATGTAAGCTAATATATAGTGACAGAAAGCAGATCAGTGATTGCCTGAGGATGAGGTAGGTATGTTAAGAGGAAAAAGATTACAGAAGGGCATGAAAAAATTCTTGGGGTGATAGATATGTTCATTGTCTTGATTATGGTGATAGTTTCATAGGTGTTTAGATGTATGAAAACTTATCAAATTTAACACTTCAAATATGTGTAGTTTATTGTATGTCAATTTAGTCAATAAAACAGTTTAAAAAAAACAGGCATATCATAGTCAAACTGCTTGAAAATAAAAGGTAAGAGAGAAATTTTTAAAGCATCCAGAGAGGAAAAGCATAAATTGTATACTTCAAATATGTGCAGTTTATTGTCTGTTACTTATATTTCAATAAAGCAGTTAAAAATAAGAAAATGAATTTTAAAAGATCAAGATATTTTGGAATGCATATAGAAGTGGTAAAGCAAAGGAAAACATGGAGGTGGTTCTCTCTCGTGAGGAGGAAGGTTTTGGGATCTGGTAGGGATAGGGACTTTAAAGGTAATGGAAGTGTTCTGTTTCTGAAGATGGGCGATAGGTTAGTATGCTTTATTACTTAATTTCTAACAGTCCAAATCGTTATTTCTGTTCTTTTGTATATATGATAAATTGCATAATTTTTAAAACTAAGGAAAATTCTTTTTGAAAAATACAAATGACCATCTTCCTTCTGGATGCTTAGGATGCTAGTCCTAAGCTAACAATACAGATATCTACTACTGATAAATAATTCAGAGGTAGTCTCAGTGCTTTTTTTTGTTTGAAGGTTTTTAGAAAACATTTAAAGTGTCTTAAGTGTAATATCATCTCTAACAATGACAAAAGTTTTTAGTAACATTTATAGCAAATATTTAAATCCATAAGATTCTCTCTCTCCATGTTTTTCATCCCTTTACGTTTAAAATATCAGGCACTTTCCTTTATTTATTTTAGAAAATAGATTTTAAAAATCATTTTCTAAATATAAAATTACATTATAGTAGAGAAAAATATTTTTTAAGCTACAGACCCTGTAGCTTAAGATTCTTAAGCTACTTAACCTACTGTAGCTTGAGATTCTGATACGCCAGTCTCTTGAGAATCTCTAGTGTATACTTAAAAATTCACTTTAAATTACCTCAGTATAATAGTGTAAGTACTATCAGAAAATAAGTGTTCTTATTTTTACCATTTTCTCTAATTATTATTCATAGTACCAATTATGTGAACTCTAATTGAGTAATACTGAGTTAGAAAGTTTAAAGAGATATACATTGTAAAAATGAAATTTCATCTTAAATCTCTCCTGTAAGAAAAACCCAGTGTGTGTATATATATATATATAATTTGATGCCTAAGATTATAATCTTTTTCATTTAGTGACTCAGATTTCTGAAAAAGAATTCGAATAACTGACAACTCTCTTCTAGTATTATAGAATGATGAAGGATGTTATCTGTTCAGATTTATAAAAATTCAGATCATAAAATATTTTTGTTTTTGTGGTAGAATTTTCAGGCTCATACTACTGATTTATTACAGCTTATACTGAATGTATTCAGTATTTTGCCCTATACCCAAAGTGCTGTTTTTCTGTCCACAGCCTGCACCAGCATGGACTACTTTTAGAGTTGGCCTATTTTGTGGAATATTCATTGTACTGAATATTACCCTTGTGCTTGCCGGTAAGTAGTTTAAATTTTGAATTAAATTATTCTTACTAATATGCCTTTGTCGTATTCTGTCCCTCTGTAAGAAATCAAGCTTGCAACTACTAAAGCTACTGAAAGAGATCTGTCAGGGCTAAGTATTTTGTTCTTAGAAATGATGTGTTCAGGAAGAGGGATTTGGTCATTTGTTTTGGTTTGGTTTTCCCTTTGGGTATAGTTATCCTTTAAAATATTGCTAGTTTATGACTTCTTACTCTCCATCATTTTCCGGTTTTTATGTACAACTTCTTCAGACTTTTTCAGAGTTTGGTTATCAAGAACCCCAGCTCCTTTGATTATGGATGAGAGTAAATAAGATATTACAAAATTCATATACTAAAGCTCATTCGCTTTGCTTTTTGGAGACTCACATTCTTTCCAGAACCTATTTATAATTACTTTGCATATAATTTTAAGAATGTTGGTTATATAATTTCCTAGTCAATAGCAGTTGTAAGTCAGAAAGAGGTAGGAGGAATTGCTAGAAGCAAGTACACTCCTAACATCAAGAAATAATCTAACAGCAAGGGAGGCATAATCTTACTAAACCTCCCAACAGAATTTGACATACCCCTGAGCAGCATTTGATGTTGTTGATCTCTTCTTGAAATTCTTCCTTCAATTGGTTTTGCTAGGAAATTGCACTCTGCTAGTTTTCCTATTAAACTTCCCTGGCAGTTCTTTCCCAGTCTCCTTTGCCAGCTCTTCTTTTTTTGTGACGTCTAAATGTTGGGGAGTACCACTGGGCTCAATCCTCAAATCTCTGTAGAGAATGTCTACATTCATTTCCTACCCACGCCGTCTTATTCAAGCCTAGATAGATAGCATCTATATGCTAATGACCCTCAAGTATATATACTTTTTCCTCTGAAGGATATCTAATTGGCTACTTGGGTGTCCAATAGGCATCTCAAACTCATATGGATGTATTTTTTTTTTTACCTCCACATATGCTTTCCCTTCCATATGGCCTCACCGTTCGTGAATTTCTCAAGCCAAAAACCTTTAGCATCTGTCTTCCCTGATACCCCATCTTCAATCCATCAGCAAATCCTACTGCTCTGTCTTCAAAATATATCCTGAATCTGACCACCTCCACCAGTGTTACCCTTGTCTAAGCAACCATTTCTTACTTAGTATACTGCAACAGTTTCTGAACTTGTCTCCCTGCAGCCACTCTTGCCTCCTTATAGCCACTAATGTCTTTTTTTTAATATAAGGTAGATCATGTCACTCTCCTCTTCAAAATCAAAATCAAAATTTAAAAAAAAAGGCTTCTCTCACAATAAAATTGAAACTTCTTACTATGGCCTATGAGACCCTACAGGATCTCACTCTTAGGGGTCTTTCTGACCTTGTATCCTAGCGTCCTCTCACATTCAGTTTCTCTTAGTTTTACTGTTTCCATCCACTCTTGTGTTGTTACTCTTCCTTCACTCCCAGCTGTGAGCCCTTGCATTTGCCTAAAAGGCTCTTCCCCAAGATGTCTACCAGGCTTACTCTCTCACTTCTTATAGTCTCTATTCAAATGCCACCTCCTCAGTAAGGCCTCACCTGATCACCCTACACTAACATACCGTGTTCTATCCCTTTAGCCTACATTAGTTTTCATCAGAGTACTTGTAATTATATGACATAATATTGCATATTTATGTTTCTTATCTGTTTTCCCACTGGAATGTAAGGTTCTTGTCTCTCTTGTTCACCATTATATTTCCAGCACATAGATCACTGCCTAGGACATAGTGTGGGTTCAAAAAATATTGGTGAAAATTTGAATGGATGGAAGAGAAGGACAGAGATGAAATCAAATGATATACAGAAAACACACACACAAACAGCAAGAAGACAGACTCAAAGGTTCTTGCAGTAGAGGGCTTTTAATTAAGGTCAAAAATCCTGGTATACCTCAAGAGCCTGTGTACTTATGCTTATAATGATAGCTATCATTAAGTACCCTCTGGGAGATAAATAAGGATAGACAGCTAGCTTTAACTATATTTACCCTTTCTCCCTTATACACACACAAAGATCAAACAGAAGGGTTCTGAGGTGAAAGAACATAATGCACAACGTGAAATGCATAAACCACACACATTAAATAAATCAGACTGTTTCAAAAAAACACAATCTATATTTACAAAAGAAAAAACCTTATTATCATTAATCATTAATAAATTATGCTTAGTGAAGTCTGCAAAGAATACATGACTTAGATGTTAGTGAATAAATATCCATTATATTCTGTTTTGGACTTTGAGTAATCATAATACTGCCTGAACAAGGAAGGTCTATATTACTGTTATCCTTATTCCTGACTGCAAGAACTGTATATTTTTCATTTTTGTATTTCAAGTTCCTAGCAGAGTGCCAGACATATAGCAGATGTTTAGGAAATACGGTACTGAACTCATTTCTCATAAACATTCTTCTTAATTAAGATTGTCAATTGTACATTATGAAATTATAACCTAAGTTGTAATGGCTTTTCGAGAGCATGTGAACTTTACCTATTACAATGTGTTTTCATTTGTATTTCTACAGTTCTCCTTCCCACCAAATACTAAAAATTAACTCTAATAATCATGGTCTACTGTAAGCTCATGATCTAATATTGGTATAATTTATGGTCGTATTTTAATCTAGTTCTGTTTGTTTAGGTGAATGCAGTCTATTTAGATAGAATACATGAAGATACGACCATAAAAAACCTAGCCCAAGATTATCAAGCTAGCTGTTGTGGAAGCAACACTGACTTGGATTCAAAAGGCCTTGCCTTGGTTTCAGTCCCAGCTCCACAGTTTGTCAGTTGTTTTGGTTTTAAGGACATCACTTAACTTTTCTGAAACAATTTTCTCATTTGTTAAATGAGCTTAATACCTTAAATTTACAAGGTTGTTTTAGAATTCCTTCATTAAACAACTAAATTTTATGTGTCTCACAATTATGCTTGATACCCATGAGTCTTAAGATAGAAAAGAGAATCCCTTTCCTTAGGAAGCCTAGTGTTATGTCAGGGAGATTAAGACAATAATAACATAAGATGGAAAGTGTTAGATGTTCTAAGCAAAGGAACAAATGATTACTTTTAAATGAGAGCATTAGGGAAGACTTTATGGAAGAAATGGCGTTTATGCTGGACGTTGATGGAATGAAAGCATTCCAAGAGAAGGAAACAGTTGAGCAGAGATTTAGTTGAATAGGTAGAGGATGGGGCATAGGAGGAGGGAGTGGATTATGAAGGAGAGAAGTGATAAATGCACCTAGGGTGAAGGAGAGTCTTAGATGATAAGAGTGAAAAGATAGCTTGAGATCAGTTCATAGAGATCATCTAAGAACTCTCAGTAAAACATGCTTATAGTCCTGAAGCACTGCACCAATGTCGAGTATACGGTCTATGTGATGGGAGTTGTTTCTTTCTGTGGGAAAAACTAGTTGTTTGTGTGTGGAATTTTTTCTTTTATTTCCAAGATGAGCGTGGTAATAGCATCATCATCATCATTAAAATAAGAAAAAGAAAACTTCATTCTTTTTATGTGAATGAATTGAAAAGAAGTTTTTTAAAATTCAAGGACAAGTGAGGTTTTTTTCTTTTGTGAATATAGACTATGTTTTTTTTGAAACAGTCTGATTTATTTAATGTGTGTGGTTTATGCATTTAGTGTTGTGCATTATGTTCTTTCATCTCAGCACCCTTCTTTGTTTGATCTTTGTGTGTGTACAGGGGAGAAAAGGTAAATATAGTTAAAGCCAGCTGTCTATCCTTATTTATCTCCCAGAGGGTGCTTAAAAGATAACGGTGTGGAGAGTTGAGAGAGAAACACAGCAGTAGTAATGCATGTACAAGCATGATTCTTTTTTACAAACATTCACATAAAAAAAAATAATGTGCATAATTGCTGTAGTTTCTCAAGGGGACGTGACCTGGTGTTTAATAATTTGTCTGAAAATCACATATTCCAGACATTTAGTTTCATGAAGATGAAAAGTTGCCTGTTTAGATTTTTTTAAATTTGTTCTCTTATAGAGTCCTAGTAACTTTTACTTAATTTGATACAGTAACAGTATACCACATTTCACTTTTTGGTTTGACAAAGATAAGAGTGTGACCATTTAAAGTAAATATAGGGGTGTGAAATAGCAGGTACTCATACACTAGTAGTAAGAGTTGGTTATTGTAGAGAAAAATTGGGCAATATATGAAAAATTTTTTAATACAGTCACCTTGATCAAGCAATTTTATTTCTAGAAATTTATCCCACAAACAGTTGTATGTGGGTGCAAAGACACATATGAAAGGAGGAGGGTATTCATTGCCACGTTGTTTATGATAGCAAAATCCTGGAAACCATTCAAATGTCCATCAGTTGGGAACTAAGTAAATAAATATTACTTTTATACAATGGAATACCATGAAGATTTTAAAATGAATGAGTGAAAATGGGTACAACACTGGAGAACCGTTTGGTAATATCTACCAAAACTGAACATATACTATGCTGGGTTGTTTCTGCTCTTTGGCTAATGTGAATTTTGCTGCTATGAACATGTGTGTGCATGGCTTTGTACCTCTTTTCAGTTCTTCTGGATATATACCTAGGAGTGGAATTGCTCAGTTATAATTCTATGTTTAACTTTCTGAGGTACCACCAATTGTTTTCTACAGAGGCTGCACCATTTTCTCTTCCTGTGAGCAATTTCTACGGGTTCCATTTTCTCCACATCCTCACCAACACTTGTGATTTTCCTTTTTGTTCTAATTATAGCCTTCTTAGTGGGTATGAAGTGGTATCTTGTTATGGTTTTGATTTGCATTTCCCTAATGACTAATGATATTGAACATCTTTTCATGTGCTTGTTGGCTGTTTCTGTGTTTTCTTTGGAAAAATGTCTATCCAAGTCCTTTGCCCAATTTTTTCTTTTTTTTGAGGAAGATTAGCCCTGAGCTAACATCTGCTGCCACTCCTCTTTTTTTTTGTTCTTGAAGACTGGCCCTGAACTAACATCCATGCCCATCTTCCTCTACTTTATATGTGGGACACCTGCCACAGCTTGTGGTGCCATGTCCACATCCAGGATCTGAACTGGCGAACCCTGGGCTGCTGAAGTGGAACCTGCGCACTTAACCACTGCACCACTGGGCCAGCCCCCTTTGCACAATTTTTAATTGAGCTGTTTTATTGTTAAGTTACAAGAGTTCTTTATATAGTCTAATAGGAGACCCTTATAAGATATAGGATTTGCAAATATTTTCTCCCATTCTATAGATTGTCTTTTCGTTTCTTGATAATGTCCTTTGACGCACTAAAGTTTTTAATTTTGACGAAGTCCACTGAATCTATTTTTTTCTTTTGTTACTCATGTTTTGGTGTCATGTCTAAGAATACATTGCCAAATCCAAGATCATGAAAAAAGAGTTTTATAATTTTAGCTCTTATATTTAGGTCATTGATCCATTTTGAACTAATTTTTTTGTATGGTATGAGGTAGGGGGTTCAATTTCATCCTTTTGCATGAGGCTATCCAGTTGTCCCAGAACCATTTGTTGAAGAGAATATTCTTTTGCATTGAATAGTCTTGGCCCTCTTGTTGAAAATCGACCAGCCATAGATGTATACAGTTATTTCTGAACTCTCAATTCTGTTCCATTTTTGTCTACGTGTCTATTTTTATGCCAGCACCACACTGTTTTGTTGTAAATTTTGAAACCGTGAAATGTGAGTCCTCTAACTTTGTATCTTCTTTTTCAAAATGTTTTGTCTATCTGAGGCCTCTTGTAATCCACATGAATTTGAGGATCAGCTTTCTATTTCTATTAAAAAAAGACCGTTGGAATTTTTCTGTGGGTTGTATTAAATCTGAAGAACACTTTGAGAAGTATTACCATCTTAACGATATCAAGTCTTCTAATCCATAAACACAGGATTTCTTTCAGCAATGTTTTGTAGTTTTCAATGTACACGTCCGTCACCTCCTTGGTTAAATTTATTCCTAGATGTAGTATTCTTTTGAGTGCTGTTGAAATTAGAATTTTTTTCTTAATTTCATTTCAGGTTGTTCATTGCTAGTATATACAAAGACAACTGAATTTTGTATGTTGATCTTGTATACTCTGCAACTTTGCTGACTTTATTAGCTCTACGAGTTTTTTGAGCATTCTTTGGGATTTCTATTTATTATTTTTGTTTCCTGACTATTGTAATGTATCAGTGGTCTTTCCTTAGGAATCAGGATGTAAAATTATATATAGTTTTTTGTTTATAACCTCCTAATTAATCTTCTTGCTACTTAACTTGTTACGTTGTAGTCTATTCTTCACATAACAGTTAGAGTAGCCCTTTAAAGTTATTAATCTGGTAATTTCACTTAAGTGCGAAAACTTTCATTGGCTTTATACATTTATGCAAAACTAATGGAATAATGGACTAACATGCTAAAAGTAAAATTTTAGGAAAATTGTTGTGGTGGAAATCTGCAGAGTGAAATGAATGGGGAAAGAAACTGCAGGCAATTTTATCAGGCTCTTGAGATAATTTAGGTTTAGATTTTATTTATGAAAAATTCCTATGCCAGGGCTCTATTATTGAGAATAAAGAGAAAAGACAATTAAAGGAGACATTATGAATTTTCTGACTAACCAATCAATTAATATTCTTTCAGCTATATTTAAACTTGAAACAGATAGAAGTATATGGCCCTTGATAAGACTCTATCGGGGTGGCTTTCTTCTGATTGAATTCCTTTTTCTACTGGGCATCAACACATATGGTTGGAGACAGGCTGGAGTAAATCATGTGCTCATCTTTGAACTTAATCCAAGAAGCAATTTGTCTCATCAACATCTCTTTGAGGTAATCAAAGCAAGACATAAAGTCCCACAAGTATAGTTTGCATTAGCTATATAGCTGGTTTAGTAAGTATTAAAATCCATCTTCTACTTGAAGAGCATTGAGTCAATAAGTAAACATTTTTCTTAGCTTTGTTTAATAAATTGAAGATATTTGTGAGTAATGGTAAAGATAAAAATAACAATTTTCTCTGTCTTTCCCGTCCTTTATCAGATCGCTGGATTCCTTGGGATATTGTGGTGCCTGAGCCTTCTGGCATGCTTCTTTGCTCCAGTTAGTGTCATACCCACATATGTGTATCCACTTGTCCTTTATGGATTTATGGTTTTCTTTCTTATCAATCCCACCAAAACTTTCTATTATAAATCCCGGTTTTGGCTGCTTAAACTGCTGGTAAGTCCAGAAACTTGTGTACCGTTTTTAGAGTGGTATATTGATCATTGGCTTCCTCTAGGATGAAATCAACACTGCTATATTATACAGCTTCAGAAGGCATGGTTCACATTGTAGTCTATGTGATGTCCCAGTTCCAGGGGCAAAGAACATAGCGTGACTGTACCCCTGACAATGCACAATGCAGTGGTCCTGGGAAGAGCACTCATGCATTTTTTCCTCCCAAAATGGAGTATAAAGTGTCCAGGTGTTGAAATGATTTTGCAAGTTAATAATAATTAGTTCATGATTAATTTAATTGCTTCATTATTTAATCAGCTGTGATAACATATAATTTGTTTCCTTTTTTTAAAAGTGGTAAAACTATTATTTTCCTGTTATATTAGTATAAGTAGTCAACCAAACATTTTTATGTAACGAAAGATTGGTTCTCTAAAAGCGGTAGGAATATCTTGCCAGATCACCAAGTTTAGTTTGAGAAACCGACTTTGATTCTGGTTTATAATAAATTCTGTGTCTTCTTCCACTTGACATATTTCTTTGTGCTGTTGTTGAGGAAGATTGGCCCTGAGCTAACATCCATGCCAGTCTTCCTCTATTTTTTAGTATGTGGGCCGTCAGCACACCATGGCCACTAAAAGAGCTGTATAGGTCCGCACCCTGGAACCAAACCTGGGCTGCCAAAGTGGAGCATGCTGAACTTAACCACTAGGCCACCCTGGGCTGGCCCCCATTTTACCTATTTCCTAATGCTCTCAAAGTCATGCAGTCTCAGCATTATGATAGAGAATTTCTTTCGAGAACGGTAGCTGTATTTTTTGTGATATTGTAAAGATAGCTCTGAGAAGGGACTTCTGCTTACTCCTATATAAAACCAGCTCTATTTTGAAAATCAATTGTGAATGCTTTCATATAATTGTTTCCTAAATTATGAATAACAATACAGTGAAAATTAGTAATTAAATTGACCAATCTCTACACAAACTTTCAAAATTCCTATATTTGCTTCACTTGTTTATCATCTTATATAGAGTATACCACTTTGAAAACTGTAGTTTTTATTTTTTTTCCTTTTGTATGCCCCTTAGGGTTAGCAGATTTTTTTTTTGTTCTTAACAATACACTCCCTATATATAGCATTAACTAAATTTTTTAAATCTGAAAACATAAAATATGGCTTTCCTATTAAAAACTGTGTAATAAGCGCTCAACAAGTAAAAAGCAACCTATGTTCCCATATAGATAAGTATTTATAGCAATCAGGAAAAGAAAATGGCCAAATCTCCTTGATTGACTTTTTTTCCAAAGTTGATTGTTATTCGTTTGTATTTCTTATTTCTCCCTGTAGGATTTTTGTCACAAATTGAGAATCTTCCTCTTTTCCTCCAATTTAATTAAATATAAATAAATAAATAAGCAAATCATTTCCTTTAAGTGCAGCTCCTCTGGGCCTAACTTTGGGTTTGAATTTTCTGAGTGTGGAATTTAGATGTACAAGAATATTTTGATAAGTTATAAGCATACCATCACCTTTAATATGTTCTGTCATCTTCTAGAAAACATGCTTTTACAGGAGTTTTTTCAAGACAGAAGAAAAGTTTGAGCCTTTTTTTCTCTCTTGAGATTTATACTAAAAATAAATCATTTCCTTTTAGTATGACGATATTGGATTACCTTTCTTATTTTGAGATTGTCATTTTGTCACTAGATTTTGTGGAGCTTTTAAACAGTTATTTGCATTAAAATTGTAGTATTCGTCTGGTTACAAAGAAGTACCTTTAAGGTTATAAAGATCTATTGTTTCCTGACTCAGTTATTGTGAAATCTCTATAAAGTTCTTTTGAAATGAGGTTTGAAAGTCTCAAAAAACTCAGGTGTTAATATGATTGCATTATTGCAAAAACAGGATAATACAGTTGTGTTCATTGTGTGCTAAGTGAGCATTTCCCCTGTGCATCCTTCTTTATGTAAATAGTAAACTATGATTCATGCATGACCAGTTACTCTTATTAGCAAAACGTTTCCCTATTGAGTAGATGTTTATCTATGCATCTGCCGTGTGTTAATAAGTGAGGACTTGTTGATGGAATAGGTAGGCAATGATGATAGAATAAGGAATACTAGAATAATAAAATGTACTATCAGAAGCAGTGAAATACAGAGAGAAGCACTGTGGTTTGTTGAATTTTCCTAGTAATTATAAACAGGAAAAATGTTGTATATAGATCATTTTAATATTAATTGATTTGTCTTATTTTAATTCAAAACTCACTGAAAAAACTTACCCTTAGACTTATTTTTAGTGAGCTAAGAAGAATGTTTCACCCTGTTTGTGTTTCTCTGATAGAGCTTTTTTTTGTTTATTGAGTTCATAATAATTTACATCAATGTGAGATTCCAGGTGTACATTATTTCTTGACTGTCACCACGTAAGTGCTCCCCTTCACCCACTGTGCCCACCCCCGACCCCCCTTCCCCTGGTAACCACTGAATTGTTTTCTTTGTTCATGTATTTGTTCATATTCCACATATGAGTAAAATCATCTGGTGTTTGTCTGTCTCAGTCTGGCTTATTTTGCTTAGCATAATTCCTTCCAGGTCCTTCCATGTTGTTGCAAATGGGATAAATTTGTCTTTTTTTATGACTGAGTAGTATTCCATTGTAGATATATACCACATCTTCTTTATCCAATCATCAGTTGCTGGGCACTTGGATTGTTTCCATGTCTTGGCTGTGATGAATAGTGCTGCAATGAACATAGGGGTGCATATGTTACTTTGGATGGTTGATTTCAAGTTGTTTGGGTAGATACCCAGTAGTGGGATAGCTGGGTCATACGGTAGTTCTATTTTTAGTTTTCTGAGGAATCTCCATACTGTTTTCCATAGTGGCTGCACCAGTTTGAATTCCCACCAGCAGTGTGTGAGGGTTCCCTTCTCTCCACACCCTCTCCAACGTTTGTTATTTTTAGTCTTAGTGATGATAGCCACTTTAACAGGTGTAAGGTGGTATCTTAGTGTAGTTTTGATTTGCATTTCCCTACTGATTAGTGATGTTGAACATCTTTTCATGTGTTTATGGGCCATCTGTATATCTTTTTTGGAAAAATGTCAGTTCATATCCTCTGCCCATTTTTTGATCGGGCTGTTTTTTTATTGTTCAGTTGTATGAGTTCCTTATATATTATGGAGATTAACTCCTTGTCAGATATATGATTTGCAAATATTTTCTCCCAGTTGGTGGGTTGTCTCTTTGTTTTGATCCTAGTTTCTTTTGCCTTGCAGAAGCTCTTTAGTCTGATAGAGCTTTTTTTAAAACCTCATCCTAAAGTGAAACTACGTTTCCTTCTTTCTTTCTTTTTTTTGGTGAGGAGGATTGTCCCGGAGCTAAGATCTGTCACTAATCTTTCTCTTTTTGCTTGAGGAGGATTGTCCCTGAGCTAACATCTATGCCAATCCTCCTCTATTTTTTTGTATATGGGACGCTGCCACAGCGTGGCTTGATGAGTAGTGTGTAGGTCCTCTCCTGGGATCCAAACCTGCAAACCCTAGGCTGCCAAAGCAGAGCACATGAACTTAACCACTACACTACCAGGCTGGCCCCTACTTCTTTCTTTTTTTGTTTTGCTTTTTAGTGGGAAAAGAACATATGGCACTTGGCTGTAGTGGTAGGCACTGGGTGCCATTTATATCCATATTTAATTTGAATCTGTGGAAGTGATACACGCTATTCCCTTCCTCCCAAAAAAAACTAAAAAAATGTTTATAAGAGATTAGTTCATTTTGATATGCATATTGTATGTCAAATTAGTACAGTTTATTTATGTTCATTAGGTTATATATCCTCGCCCTGGATCTGTATCTGCCCTAGTCAGAAATCCAGTTAGGAAGTGTAAACAGTGCCTCAGATTTTCTAAACAAAAATATCAATTTATTCTTATAGAAGACTACTTAAAGTTTTTAAATTAGAATTCTTTTCTATATAATTTGGAAATCGGTTTTTCCAATATTTTCTTTATTGTATAGTAGCATTTTTACACACATCTCTACTATAAGAATAGATTAGAGAGATGTTTTCATTTAATAATGCACTGTTCTGGACATTTTATACGTATTAATTTTTTTAATCCTTTTAATAACCCATGAGGTTGGCTATTAATCTACATTTTATAAATGAAGAAACCTGGGTTAGAAGTTAAATAAGGTTATACAGCCAGTATGTAATGGAGATGCGATATTAGCCCAGGCAGTCTGGCACCATAGTTTGCGCCCTTAAACACTAACATTTAACAGTTAGACCTGTCAGTCACTTTATCTAAGATATTTAACTTTTATCTAGTGGATCCAACTAATGAAATATAAAAAATCACATTTGGAAAGAATGTAATTATTTACAAGCTTCTCAAAAGTAGAAATTAAAACTTGGTCTCCTTAACTGTTTATCTGCATTAACTTAGAAGATGATGTTAGTGTATATTCTTTGTAATAACTTATTGGTGACTTTTTTGTGTATGTAGGTAAAACATCAGATAGCCATAATTGTCTCTAGCTTTCTTAATACTGTTACTCGATGAATTATTACCATTTTAGTCAAAATCAAAAAAGGTAAAAAGTGAAAGGCCTCAGCCAGAATAAGAAAGGGAGAAGGAGAATTCTCACACGAACAAGAAAGTTCAGATAAATCTGAGATGAAGTTGACTATGTGTAAATGCCAGGGAGTTAGGTATAATCTGTTTATTTCCTCTCCCCTCACCCTACCTCTGACCAAGCTACTAGCTCCCTTCTTTGTATTTCCAGGGCATTTTGTATGTATAGTTGTAATAGAACTTACTACATAGTACTATCGTTATTTCTTTAGATATTTATTTGCCCAACCAAACTGTGGGTCTTTGAGGGTTTTGAGAGTAGAGATTGGTTTATTAATCTTTGTACCTCCACAATGCTTGACATATAGTAAATACTTAATGTCTTTGTTAAATGCATGAATAACTATAATTATCTTCTTTCCTTCATTAGTTGTATTATACCAACATTTACTACTCCCTCTTTTCTTCCTTTGTTCATCTTCTCTCTTCTGTAAATTTTCCCTTCCCCCCAGTTTTTATTTTTATGCCATTCCCGTCCTTTTCCAGTCCCATCCCTCCAATTCTTTGTTTCTTATTTAATGCATTCTCCTCTTCTTCTGCTCTTATGGAAATTTTCTGTATTAGCTAGGTTTTGAGGCTGGTTGTGGCAGATTGTGAGGCTAATAGCAGTCTGTCTCACATCAGTTAGAAAGAAGAAATTTGCCCTAGGCTACCAGTTTCACAGAAGTCCATGACTAGAAATTGAGTTAGACTTCCTGATCCTTTGGTGTTTTATCCTAAACTATCCTTTTGTTTCTGTCTGTTTGAATCCTTTAAGTCCATTCTGCACCCTAGAGTATCTTAAAATACAATATAAACTGGCACCAAAACCTCTTTGTGCATAGATGACTAACATCTCAACCCCTAACCCTCTCCCCGCAAAAGCCATATCTGGAGCTTATGGTTGCGAACGGTATAGCTTGTGTCTCTGGCTTATTGCACAACTTATTGAAGAATAAGAGAGTGACCAAGAGACCAAGCCATGGACTCAAAATATATCAGCTCTAGAAAATAATGTCTCAAAGCCTCCATTGTGTCCTATACAAACCTGGTCTGACTTCCAAAGCTCCAAAGTAATATCTGTCATAGATAGTTGACACCCAGAATTGATTTGTAATATAGCCGTTTAGCTGCCTGAAATAATAAAAGGAAATATTTAGAGAAAGGGTAGAAAGAACCAGCCAAGCCTGAGAGTAGATAGCTATAGACTCCCAGGCTGAATGTGTCTATGAAGTGAATGTAGCTAGACGGCAAGAGAGCTACAGGTTTAGACTCATTTTCTCAGAACTGCTGCTTTGTCAGAATGCCTTGTTTTAAGAGTCTGTTTTTGCCTGTATAAGGTAGAAAGGGTCTGACAGGATGAGGACTAAAGCTGCCTTCATCCCGTCTTTACTTCAGTCAAGGCCTCTCAAGGCATTCTGTACAATTTGAGTCTATTTCTGGTGATTTGCATTAGTATCCAATCTTTCCTCTCTCTGCAATGCCAGGATTTCCTTTTGCAGTGGTAAACAGACCTCCACAGATAGGTCAGAATGAGTTTGTTGTAGGTCTTCTGTAAAATGGTGATATGAATAGTACCCAGCTTATAGAATTGTTGTAGTTAATGGATTATGAGAAAGGCATTATGGGAAAAATACACACCATGCATTAGTGCTCAATACATTTAGCCTAAATTCATTTATCATTGTTTTCATAACAGTGGGATGTGGGCTGATTTTTCTGGCATAATTTTAAGACAAATACAATGATCACCATGGCATTAGTGAAATGAAAGTGACTTTGGTTAGAGAATAAGGCATGCTTCAGGTGATGTACCATCCTTCCTTTTCTATCCTTTGTAGACAGGAAGAGCTTTGTATTCATTAGCTAAGCTCCTATCCCAGCTAAGGTGGGCGAACATTTCAGGAATTATTATGGCAATTGGTCTCTAGCAAAATTTACCCTAGAGCCTAACGCTAGCTGTCCTCTCAGTGCTTCTACTTTCTGCCACTTTCTGCTTTTCCACTGCAACTCTTCCCGCCTCTCCGCTTTCTAACTGTAGCTGTTCCTGCCCTTTTCCTCCTTTTAGTTTCTTTCTTAGTTATCCATTCAACTCATTCCCTTCACTTCTAATTCTCAACCTAGCCACTGTTGCCAGGTTCCTGTATGATTGGTTCATTGATTTTCATTTTATCAGATAAAGTAATCATGGTGCATGGTCGGACATGAAATAGAGAAATTTAATATGAATTGTTTCTATGTTTTCTGATTTTTTTCTTTCTCCCAGTTTCGAGTATTTACGGCCCCCTTCCATAAGGTAGGCTTTGCTGATTTCTGGCTGGCCGATCAGCTGAACAGCCTGTCAGTGATACTGATGGACCTGGAATATATGATCTGCTTCTACAGTTTTGAGCTCAAATGGGATGAAAGTGAGGGCCTGTTGCCAAATGATTCAGAAGGTAGGGTATGAATGTGAATCCACACTACTAAACTGCCAATGTAAACCAAGAAATATTGGGAATGATAACTGCAAAATTTAAGATCATGGTGAAAACTCATCCAATAATATTATAAAATTAATTAAATGTACTTGGCACTTTTTTAGCAATCTCTTTATCTGGTATAATTTGGCTCATAAATTGTGTGTTAGGATTTTAGCCATCCATTTGCCAAGAGATTTACAACTTTATACTTAAAGAATTCTAAAACTAAAAAAAAAGTTCTAGTGCATTGGTAGTTATATCACAAATGCTTTATTGCCAACAACTGCCATCGTAGGACTGCTTTACAGTGATCAGAAACACTGATTATTCAGTTAGGTCAAGTGCTTTGAGAAAGACATTATAGATTGTTTTTCAGTTCTTATTAGGGACCTTGTTTTTCTTCTGGCTGTTTTTCCCACTCTTAGTTTATGCCAGGAGTTCAAGTTATTAAGGAATTTTCCCTTAATGACAAAGACCAAATTTAGACAAATTATGTAACATCTGATTAACAGAAGTTGATGAAGTCAGTGCCAACACATTTTCATTGATTGCCAGCAGATCACAACTCTGTTGTAGGTTGATCCCACTATTATACAGTCCCAGAATTTGAAGAAAAATTGATTTACCAACTCCATTCTCTCATTTAAAAATACACGCTCCACTCTTTTTTTTTCTTTTTTCTTTTTGTAAGGAAGATTGGCCCTGAGTAACATCTGGTGCCAGTCTTCCTCTTTTTGCTTGAGGAAAATTGTCACTGAGCTAACATCTATGTCAATCTTCCTCTATTTTATGTGGGATGCTGCCGCAGCATGGCTTGACGAGCAGTGCTAGGTCCACACCCAAGATCTGAACCTGCAAACCGTGGGCTGTCAAAGCAGAGCACACAAACTTAACCACTGCGCCACCAGGCCAGCCCCTTCACTCTCTTTTTAAAAAGAAAGAGGAGCAAAAGAGCATGAACAACCTATAGTGGATATATTATAGTGGTTTGGAGTTAATGAAATTGACTGGAGTCACCATTGTATTTGTAGGTTTTCCAAATGTTTCAAGTGACAGAGCTAACCAGGGTTTTTTTCCCCTTTGATTAGAATACTGGTGTTCTAATTTTCTTAGAGTTTCACCACGCTTCAAAGAAAAGTGATTCTAGGACAGTCAGAAATCTGAGAGGGCGCATTTTCCTACTAGGTCCCCCCTCTGTATTTTACCTTCTCTCTTTGGCTTACCTACCCCTAAAATGTTTGAGAATATAATAGTTGCAAAGAAGCATGATTCTGAAACCCAGGCTCCTTGCTTTTATGGACTTGCTAGTGGTTACCATATGTGACTAAATGATGTGAACAAATTATTTTTTTAAATTGTAACTTTTTCTTCTTTGAAATCTTCACAGAACCAGAAATTTGCCACAAATATTCATATGGTGTGCGGGCCATTGTTCAGTGCATTCCTGCTTGGCTTCGCTTCATCCAGTGCCTGCGCCGATACCGAGACACAAAAAGGGCCTTTCCTCATTTAGTTAATGCTGGCAAATACTCCACAACTTTCTTCACGGTGACGTTTGCAGCCCTTTACAGCACTCATAAAGGTATTCAGTGATTGACTGTGAAGAGATTTTTCAAAACCCGGGTTTTTACTTCTTGAATCTGTTTCTTACTCTGGTTGCTTTTCTATTTTTTCTGCTCTTTTTACCCGCTGAAGTTCCAGTCCCCTCAGTGATACTAGTTTGTTCTTGAACACACTTTTAGTCTCGTTCCAATATTTACTAATAAGTACCATTAAAAAGAATCAAAGTTGTCCAGAATAGCAAGGATTTGTAGTAATGTTTGAAATCCTGAATTATGTTTAATGGGCTCAATCTGTGGACACCTTGGGTTTTCATTTGGTTTTTTTAGACTTCTTGTTCACTAATGAGGTTGGGAAATGCTAGGTGAAAAAGATTCCCTCTGGCAATCATGTATGCTTTTAATCGCTTTCCTCCACCAAGTAGTAAGGATTGTTTCCAGCCCATTTAACTGCAAATTGAGTTCTCTGATCTCTCTAGTTTCTTATCTCCATGGCAACTAGTTATTACTTGAGACTGCTCTTCTGTTGAGAGGAGAAAAAAGCTTTTAGGTTCTGAGCCACATGCAGTCACTTCTTTTGAATTTTTAACCTTTTCCCAAGAACTGTCAATCAAGGATTTCCCCTCCTTTTACTAAAAAATGCATTCCTTCTTTGTTTACATCAATATCAGCCCACACCTTACAGGCTGCGCTCTCTCCTCTGTGGTGGTAAAGAAATGTTACTAATTGAAATTATTTTTAAATACTTTGGTAAATTTTTTTCAGTGGTTCTTTTTCTTTAATTGAGATGTTGCATTTTAGGAGCGTTAGCTAATGTTCCAGAACTACTACTTATCTAAAGTGTCTCTGATGGTCTTGAAAGATTAGGATGGTGGTTTTTTTGTGAGGCCTGCGTTTGGTCCAACAGAACACTTTATAACATACTTCCACTTTTGCAGTAGATTCTGAGATTGCCGTAATATTAATAATGCAGCCAATAATTTTACCACTTTGTAGGCACTCTTGTTAAATGATATAATTTAACTAAGTACCTCTGTGAAGGAAACACATCCTCAAAACTCCCATAATTTTAACTCTTGCTGAGGAATGTAGTTATTCAATCCTGGCATGCATCGTGAGTTAGGTTGTTACTAGAGAATTTATAAATGAGGCAGCTGATTTGATACATGACTCAAGAACCCTTTACTTTTCTCCCATTCTGGGTAAAAACAAATACTGTCTTTTGATTGAATATTTTAGGCTGTAACATGTCCTTAACTATAGTGATACCATTCAGTAAGAAGCTGAAAATCTGAATTCCTCAAATCTGCAAGCACTCCACATCCAAACACCTAAAGCCAGAAGCAGCGGTCTGAGTAGTACTGCGGTCATCAGACTTGGTTTTTGCTGATGTACCTCTTCAAAAAATTTGTAAGCTATGTTGTTATTTTCTCAGACATTTTTAAGTTTACATCTGAAATTTTTCATCTTAAGTTTAAATAATTACAAAAAATGTAGCTTCCAGTGTATTTTAAACATTCACATTTAAGAACAAAACTGCTAAATGTTTGTACTGAATGTATCCAGGTAATCTAAATATAAAAGTATGATACTCATCGTGATTTATATTTTTTAAATGAAGCAATTCTACAATAGTCCAAAATTTTACATCTCTTTCCTACTGAACTTTTTTTAATGTTATATATTTTTATGTTTTAATGACTTTTGTTTGATACCATATATGTAAATTGAAATTAAATTATTAATTTCCTACTACTAGAAGGTGCTAAGAGATTTTTTCTTTGTGTGTTATAATGATCATTACCCTGATTATTATCTATTGTTGATCAAAGTAACAGTACAAATGTATTACAAATTTTAATAGTTTTTACACACAAACGTTTCTTAATGAGTTAAATTTATATTACTTATTACTAATAAGTTAGTAACATAGCTAAGTACACGAGAAAAGTAAGTTTTTTTGTTGCAATGCCACTCAATTTTTTGGACAAATTCTGAGTTTATATGCCCAAAAAATTGCATAGTAGTCTAGCATCAATAATTATTTTTAGGGGCCGGCCCGGTGGCTCAGCGGTTAAGTTCACACATTCCGCTTCGGCAGCCTGGGGTTCACTGGTTGAGATCCCAGGTATGGACCTATGTGCCACTTGTCAAGCCATGCTGTGGCAGGCATCCCACATATAAAAAATAGAGGAAGATTGGCACAGATGTTAGCTCAGGGCCACTCTCCCTCAGCAAAAAGAGGAGGATTGGCGGCATATGTTGGCTCAGGGCTAATCTTCCTAAAAAAAAAAAAACTTTTAGTGATCTATAAAATTTTCTTTGTTGAAAGCAAAGAGTTGAAAATAAACTGAATAAAGTAAAGAATTGAACATATACTGAATGAAAAAAGGATTTGTTAACTAGAAACTGGAGTCATTCACTTTCTCTGTTTCTAGACAGTATACCAAAAAGCTTGAGTAGAACCAATCTATGATACTTAATTTTAGAGGCTCCTTATTTAGCCCACCATTCTCAAAAAACAATTAGGAAAGTAAAAATATTGTTGATTTAAATAGGCATTTGCCAGTGCAGTATTTTTTGATGACATGCTTTTATCTTATCTTTAAGTGTATTTTTGAAAAATATCTTGGAATCACAGATTACTCTCATCCAGTTTATAGGGAATATTTGCTACATACCCTAATTGGATAACTGGTTAGCCAAATCAGAAAAAAATTTGGCTTAAATTAATATATTTATATATACCCCTGTGTAAATACCTCACTTCTTAATTCTAATTCTGACTTAGGTGGATAGGTGAGTATATAGACAGACAGAGGAAGCATGCATTCAATAAGTATTATTGAGACTATTCTGTGTATCAGGTTGTACTAGATAATAAAAATAGAGCAACAAGCAAAACACAATTCTTGCCCTCAAGAATTTATAATCTAGTAGAGGACAAAGACAAGTAAATTGGCATTAGTTGCTTACACAACAATGTGAGTATACTTAAAACTTCTGAACTGTACACTTAGAAATTAATATGGTAAATTTTATGCTATGTGTTTTTTACCACACACACAAAAAAAAGACATTAAAACAGAGGGTAAAGAGAGAAGCGGGTACCAGAACAGCCTACACCACAAGTCACTAACTCAGCCTCTAGGCCTCATGATGGGAAGTGTGGAGAAGACTTCCCAGAGGTGATAGTTAAACCATACCCTGTTGTCTGTATTAAATTAGGAGGATTCCAGTTATCCCATTATATCTTTTGTTCAAGGCCATGTAATTTGTGAGTGTTGGAAGGGTTACTCTTCCCAATTCTGTCCTCTTCAGCTTAGGGCTCCCCCCCCCCCCCCGCCCCCAGACAAAACCACACCTATGAAGCTGAGATAATAGTATCTATTGTGTTTACTTTATAGATTTCTTGTAAGGATTAAATAAGGTAGTGCACATGAAATCGCCTTATAAACTCTTAACTTGCTACACAAATGGAATTTATTATTAAATGAAATATAATTCTCTTTGCTGTTTAGAGCTAGTATGTATGTGTCCTCCTTTATGGGAAAGTCTTTTTAAGAGAAACCCTTATGATTACCTTGGCTGGGTGGGTTGTAGGGGCTAGTATCAATTAGGGATGTGTTTGGCTTTTTGTTCAAGTAACACAGCTGTTTACTCACTGAACTTGATTCACGTGCCCACAGTCAAATTTTTTTAAAAACAAGCATACTTTTAGAGGGACCATTGGTTATATATCTTAATCATATCCCTAAATTTTTTTTTTTAAAAAAACCCACTTTTCGTAGTTGCTACGTATTAAATTTTTATATCACTAAATTTTTTTTACCAAAAAGCCTAAAACAGAGGGAAAAAATTAGAAAGAAAACTCAGAGGAGCCATTGACAGAAAATTGCACATTGAGCAATGATTAGAAGTAGAATTTGATTCCTATTGTTTTCTTGGACAATATGTAAGAGAAAAAAGCATCAGAAAACATAGACTTTAGAAGTAATCATTGAGCCAAAAGAATAAATTCTATATGGTTAATGGAGTAGATCTTTTTCTATTGAATGCTTATGTGCTATTGCAAAGATGAATTTAATTGGGGGGGGGGGACAGTGTAGAAGAGGGTGAGGTAGCCTTGTTCAGACTCAAGAGATCTGAATCTTTTCAGAGACATAGCATACAAGAGTTACCATAGTAACAGCATTATTGGGGGCATTTTCAAGATCGTTCCAAAGGTTATGTCTTATGTTATACTGCATGATTTGTAAAAATGGAGGTGCAAGAGTCAATTCTTTTCCTAGAGTCATTTTTTAAAGGTGAGGGAGGGGGTTTAGGCAGCTCATTTTAGGGAGGCTCTGTGATAATATTGCAGCCAGCCCTCACTTGTAGTAAAAAGGAAAACACATTTTAAACGTTTCAGTGTATTTCATTTTCCATCATTGAGGTTTTAGAAACAAAAGAATTTTGTTAGCAGCCAATTTCTGTATTTTAAGAATTCGCATTTCATTGCAAGGCTAAACTTGAAGCCAATTCCTACAAGTTTTTTGTTGGAATTAGTATTGGAGGAGACAGAAGAGTATTTTAAATGGTTTTTGTGTGTCCTTGAGGTTTCTTGGCTTTGGCAAGGAAAAGCCTGTGGGAGGTACAATAATAGAAAAAGCCATTGTGGTGGTATTTCTAACCCCTTGTTGGGGAGAGAGCACTTCATTAGATTTTCTGTTTTTCATTTATGGTTTCTAACATCCTAAAATATTGATGAATTCTTTTGGACTTAGCTCTTTGCTATTCTCTGAATGTATAGGAGAAAAAGATTTCTTTTAAAAATACTTTATATTTTACTTTAGACTTTTGTGTTAGTATTTGCTAACAAGCATTTGCTACTAGGCTTTTAAAAATACTTGGGAAAAAAGAGAGAGATTCTCTGCTCACTTAAAAGCTGAGTTCATTTGTGTTTGTTTGTTTGGTTGTTTTCCAGCGCCCAGAGCCCTTCTTGTTGAACGTTCTCTAAGGGCTGCTGTGCCCCTAGTGAGGA